TTACCTTTAATCAACTGTATGACTGAAAACAAGACTTTTCATCTATGTTATTACCTTGACAAGTTGATGATAAAAAAGTTGTGCAACATGTAATACTTTGGTATACATTTACATGAAAATGTAATGGCACTATAATAATCAAAGAGAAAATACACTCACAAACACATGAAATAATCTGCATTAGTGAAAAATTTCAAAAATTCACAAAACAGGTCACAACACATGCCATGCAAGCTGTAACTCCACAATTGGGTGGGGGTCCAGGGGCATAGCCTCAAATAGGGAAATAACGGTGATCGGATGGGTGTCCAGGGGTGAGGCCCTTGGGTTACGAAGGATTTGGGTTTATACAGTGACATCTGTGGATTTACCAGGAATAGTAGGAGTAAAATGGCTTAATCTCAATTTTAATCTCTTAATCTTCATAAACATTACCAATGCTTTTATTTATATAATTTGTGATGGGAAATAACGGGATTCATGCGTGTTACAGCGTGGATAATCGAAAGAAAGAATAAAAAATGGAAGATTGGATGGCTGTGTGAAACTAAAAAATTACCCAGAGAACTAGCTTCATTCATACAGTAATTGAGGATAGAAAATGCCTATTAATAATAGAGGGAGAACTAGCATTATAAATTTAAAGGAATTCAAATTTGTTTAGATTTTTTTTTGGGGGAAAATGAAAAAATACAGTTTTATAGGTATAATACTAATACTTTTCATGAAACATGTGATAGAAAAGTATGGTTTGTCTTCACACTCATTACAGAATGTGTTTACTTTTCTAGCTTTATTTCTGGCTAACTTGAACCTTTTAAAAAGAGATTTTTTCATAGCAACCATGGCATCTTTTTCTTGTCTCTTTTAGGTCCATCTTTCTCAGTCAGTGTAACTTCTTCCTGATATTTCCAGGTTCATTTCCAGTAAAGGAATACTATAAAAACTCAAAACTGCAATTGATCCCACTTTCCCTTAGGGTACTGATAGTCCAGCAATCAGTGGTGTCCTTGAGTCTCATAGAAACCATGTACCTCTTTCTGTAATAGGTCTAGCAGGACTGGCAGGAGAATGTTGCTGCTATTGGGGAAAGTGCTGCTTTTGCTGTAACTTGGAAAACATGATCAGATTCCAACACAATTAATAGTACCAATGTCAAATGATCTATGTAATTTTTGCATTCTGTTTTCCAGCATAGACCAGCTAACATAACTCATATATTCTGGTAAAGTAGAGCTTGGAATGATACCTTAGGTACATTTCTAGAATAGAGTCTTAAAACCCACGAACTTTAATATCAGCGGACTCCTATTAAAATCTTTTAACCAAATATAACAGAAATGGTTGGATCTGTGTACATGCTGCTGCTCAGACATGGAGATTTTTTATTCCAGGCGGAGTTGTTAGGGGATGCAGCAGCAACATGAAATGATTGTAGGAGCTTACAGATCATGATTCAGTAGACCAGTGTGTTGTAGATTGATTGTTTGGGAGTTTGTGCCACTCTGGTGCCACAAGTGATTAGGAGATCAACCATTCCAAGTACATAGGGAAGTGACAGTATTTAGAACATGTAAACTGAGACAGTGTATCATTTGATATGTGGACACCTTATTTATATTAAAAGGGATATTAACCTACAAAAATTAGCTCCTCCATAGTGTGTTCAGTCTGGATATATAAGATACCTGTCCCCTCCCAGCATGGAGCCATATAACTTGCAGGGCTGTGTGAGTTTTATAGTGATTGACAGTTATTAACAGTATGTTTTATTTTTATCAATATTGTTTACTTCTGAAGTTTATAATTTTCATCAGTTTGTAGTTGACATAACATTGATTGCAAATATGATAGGTTATGTGGTGGGAAAGCTTAAATTAAAGTAGCATTTTGTTTCTGTTGAAAGAAGGTTAGCGCAGGAACCACACAGTCTCCTGCCATTGATCATGTCCTTTGATCAGTGACTGTAATCAGAGGATGGCATGTGAATAAAGCCTGTATGTTTTTAAATTCTTTAATTAAAAAGAACACTACCTGGGCATTACCACTATTTTTCCACAGGCACGTTCACACTTATATAGAGGAGTATTTGTATTAAAAGATAAATGTAGAATTCAAGGCCTTAAAATATTTTGTTATTATGAGAAGTTATGAGTGTGAATACCTGTCAGTAATTATGTTACTCGGTGCTTGAAAGCTGAAATTGTGTGACAGTTGTGGCTTATGATATTCATGATTATATCAGAATATTCTTTTATGATTTTGATAGAAACATGCCATAAAGTTTTACTTTTCCGCTGAAATTCTGATTGAGCTAAAAAAATGTTAAACTGGTGATAAATTTTCAATTTTCAAATTTAGGGTTTTGATGTAAAAAGAGGCTTTGTTTTTGGTCATACCTTAAGCATTTTACCATACATTGCTGCTACTTGTATATTATTGATATGAATTGATTGTCTGGAAATATTATTGTAACAATAATGTATTTCTTTTACTGTGAGCATATTTATCAAAAGACTGTAAGGTCTCTGAGTTTTTGAGGCCTCCAACAAAAGTGGCAAACATCTTACAAGAACAAGTAACTTTATTTCTTTGGACCAATACACTTATTTTTGTTGAGTAGAACACATTTCCAAAATGCTTGGACTTGTTCTAATGAATCTTATATTTTGGCTAGTTACAGTCAGGGACAATACCTTACTAAAGCTCTTGGGCCTATTTTGGTGAGAAATACATATCTTGTATCTGAGATGTCATTATATTTGAAATAGATATAAAACCTACTGGTCTTTGGCTCCCTTGAATAGTAGGTTTTCCATTTCTGAAACTGAAATAATGCTTGAAATTTTAGATGATAAATTTGGATACATAATGGCTTATGTAAAATGAGACAGCAAGGAAACTGTGAACTATAAATCTGTTAGATTTGAGGTCATAATTACAAATGTAAAACCAGCTCAGTTTGTGTAACAGCACTATAAAAATGACCATGTAATGTATACATATCCATACATAGTTTATATTTAACAAAGGAGGAATTGAGGTAATAGTGCAATAGATCTATTGTATATCTTAAAATATTTATATATAGCACATGTAGAATGTGAGTGCATAGAATTATTGCTTGGGTTAATGAAATTAATTTGAGAACTGACTAACCTGATAAGAGCATAAAACTTGCCAGTTTTACAGCTATATAGTGTAGGGTATTTTTGTAAAATATATCACATTTAAAGTTTATTATTTTGACCATAGTAACAAGAAATAGATAGGCAATAATATTGATAATAATTATGATGAGGATAATGATAATTATAATTTCAATGATCATAATGAATAATTAAAATACTTTTGATGATAAAAATGAGCAAGCTGATAATGTGACTTCTGTGTGTGGAAAAAAGTGTAAAAAACATACACTGTTGTCAGGCTACCTGTTTTTTATTTTATTTTTTTTTTGTGATAGGCCTACAAAATAGGAAAGCATATTGACTGCCTTTTAATATAGTAGATGTTATCGGAAGGACTATTGCCTTGAACAGGTTATTCCTAATTCACTTGGGGGAATTGCTCTGCTGTCCTTTCTGAGTCATTTTGATTGGATTAGATCTGATTTTTTTTTTCATATATAATTCCTGATCTCTATAATCATTGTTAATTTTACTTAATTCTCTAGGGAGAGGAGAGTAACTTAATGGAAGGAATAATCAATATAAGTTAGAAGTAAATATACCTGATTAGATATCATATAAGTAGTAGAAAATAATGTTAGTAATTAAAAAGAATTAGAGAAGAAAAAGTCTTTCCTAGCTTTTTGCTATGTTCAATGTTCTCCCAATTTTTACAGCATAAAGAGTATCTCGGTGATTATATATATCACATCTGTGTAGATCTTGCGTGTAGCAGTTAAACTTGATTTATTGGAAGCTGTGTACACGTCAGTCTTATGCATTGCTATTTTGTGATTAAAGTCTGGTGCTTGTAAAATTTTAGCAGCAACTGTCCTTGGCATTGGGGCACCACTGTCAGTGATCTGAGTTTTTGTTGGTGTTTTTGCAATCTATTTTTACATTGTCAGTATTTTATTTTTAGAATAAGTGATTTTGAATATGATTTTGAATAATTTGTGATGTTAATTTTTTAAATTCAGTTATTTCTTTTGTTTTAGTGTATATCTATTTTTTTTTCTTTTTTTTTCTTTTATGTTAAGTTTCTATATTTAGTTTTTCTAAAGCACTGTCCATATATGACTTAAACTGAATGCATATTATTATTTTTGTATTTTTCTTTTTTTACCATTCTCTCTCCCTATCCTGTTCCCTTTCCTACCACTTCCTCCATCTCCCTCTCCCTCTTTCTCCCTCTGTCTCCTCTGCCTCATTCTCTCAGTACCTGTCCTTTTTTGTTACACTATACCTTTTTCCTTAATAAGCTACTGATGTGAGGAAGGCATGCATACATCCCCTGTCTACAGTAAATTACCTTATCAATTTGATTTACACAGCTTTTTCACCAAGGAATCAGTGACTAAGCTTATCTGGTCTCACCTGTGTACCCTGTTCCTTGATGATTTTTTTTTTCATATACCCTTTGTTTTGTTAAGGTTATGAGGATGAGGATCATCATCATAACATCAAAGAGAAAACCAACATGAACACTAACAACTGTAGAATTATGTATTACAAGCAGAAACTTAAGGAATGGAGCTAAACAGGTGAAGTTATGTAGGCCTAGTACTTGACTCCATGTTGACTAAGTGTTTATGAAGCCATCCATATGTAAACAGTAAAACTGCAGTGGACAGTGCATGTACCTGGCACCTGTGGATTACCATTATACTCACTGTTTTCCTCTTCCCTCTTACCTTAACTCTTTAAATCCTTTCATCATTGTTCTCTGTATCCCCCCACTTGGCCCCTTCTCACCTCCTCCTCCTCATGTTCCTGGAGACGACTGCAGAGGTGCAATGAAAAAGCATGTGAATGCCTCACAATTTTGCAGATGGAAGAAGGAAAAGCTATCTACCTCAAGACATGGCAGAGGCAATGCTCAAGGTCCAAAAGGGGCTCTTGGGTATTCCTCAAGCAGCTAAGCTGCATGGTGTACCCAGGTCTTCATTGTGGTACAACCTAAACAAAAATCGCCACTCTCCCATTGCAACTAAAGAGAGCACAAATACCCCTAAAGAGCAGAGGACTGTAAATAAAATGGCTGTTGGAATAAAGTCTCCACCTGGGTAAGCAGTTATCATAAGGGCATGTGAGAAGAATTTGCTGATTTTTCAGGTGCAGGGTAATGCTGGTGATGGTGTTAAGAGCTTTCTAAGTATTGCATCATGGACTGAGTATTTTACAGGAGGTACTTCTCTTGTTGGCCTCTTTTAAAGGTGCATGGTAACTTATGCTGTCTCATCAGAATTTAGTACAGTACTACATATATATATATATATATATATATATATATATATATATATATATATATATATATATATATATATATATATATATATATAATATAAATCTATATTATATATGTATATATATATTTGTTTATTATTATTAATTTTTTTAATGCTTATAAGTACTTGGTAAGTGTTTTCAAGATTTAGCATTTTATATGTTTTATAATTTCTTCCATGCATTTTGTTGTAGTAATGATGATAGAATTATATTTATGCATTTTCTTTATGTATGTATTTTTTATATTCATTTATTTATCTATTTGCTTTAGCCTGAATGAGTAAGTTTTGTTTTCTATATAGTGCATGAATGTATTATTGAATTATATATGTATGTAGTTCTTGATTAGATGGCTTAGGAGTTTTTTCTTTCAGGAACTTTTTTTTTCTTATAAGTAGATTTCATGTTTTGCAGTTTCAAGATGAGCCAGCCGGTGAATTGTTGCTTTTGTGGCCGTGGAGATGAGAACGAGGTCGAGTTTGGGAAGATCTACACGGTTGATGATGTGTCGGTCCATTATTATTGCCTGGTGAGTAGATTTGCATATTTCATTTTTCTTTGATGATTATTGTGGGTGCGTTTACTTTTTATGCATTTATGTTTTGGTTTTCATCTCTTTCCTTGGTTGTTATTTAATGTAAGCTGTAAGCCCATGGGGAAACTTATTAAGATGAGGGCAGTAGCCTGATGTAGATGCTTGTTGTAATAAACTTGTCAAAAGTTCAAATTTTCTCTCTTTCTCTCTCTTTCTCTCTCTCTTTCTCTCTCTCTTTCTCTCACTCTTTCTCTCTCTCTTTCTCTCTCTCTTTCTCTCTCCTTCTCTTTCTCTCTCTCTTTCTCTCTTTCTCTCTCTTTCTCTCTCTCTCTTTCTCTCTCTCTCTCTTTCTCTCTCTCTCTTTCTCTCTCTCTCTCTCTCTCTCTCTCTCTCTCTCTCTCTCTCTCTCTCTCTCTCTCTCTCTCTCTCTCTCTCTCTCTCTCTCCTCTCTCTCTCTCTCTCTCTCTCTCTCTCTCCCTCTCTCCCTCTCTCCCTCTCTCCCTCTCTCTCTCTCTTCTCCCTCCCTCTCTCCCTCTCTCCCTCTCTCCCTCTCCCTCTCCCTCTCCTCCCTCTCTCTCTCCTCCCTTTTTTATTGTCCCTCTCCCTCTTCTGCCTTGCCCTCTTATATTTAGAAATTGTTTGGATTTATGTATCAGTACCGATAGATATACATGTATTGTGTTTTCAGCTGTTCTCCAGTGGTTTGGCACAAAATGGCGAAGATGACGAAGGAGTCCTAGGCTTCTTAGCAGAGGACATAGTAAAAGAAGTTCAGAGGGGACGGAAATTGGTTAGTTACTTAGTTTTCAATCAGTATTTACTAGTTTTCATCAATATTTACTAGTGTTCATCAATATTTACTAGTTTTCATTAGTATTTACTAGTTTTCAATCAGTATTTACTAGTTTTCAATCAGTTTTTATTAGTTTTCAATCAGTATTTACTGTATTTAAGTTTTTGTGATATAGCCGTATTACTGCATCATTAGAAAGGTAGATGACGTGTGATTTTTTCTCTAAAGCTTGTTGAATTTGATATAAAAAGGTTGCCCTAAGAAATCATAATTTTTAGGAAAGTTATTCAGATTTTCAAGTGGAATAATTTTTCAAATGACCATCTTTTTGATATTCAAAATTGCAATGTTTGTGATGAAGTGTATAATCAAGAAAATATTTGCTATTTCAACAAGATAAAATTCTTTTACGTCAGAGGTGACTGATTGGATAAACTGCTACTTCATTCACATTTAAACCTCTTGTGATGTTGTCAGCTAATGTCAATAGGCAGAAAAAAATAAGCTTATCAGTTGTGTGATAGAATTAATGTAAAATCAAGACTTCCATACATTTTGGGTGGTGTTCAACTTCCTAGATTTATGATTCTAATTGCCTGAAATCAGTCTCTGATAGAGTGATAATTGTTTGTACTTACTGAAATACAAAATGATACCGAGTCCGAGGGAGTGATAGCCATCCTGAGTTATTTTTGCATAATATTATTAGGGTTTATCACACTGAATTACTGCTTGAAATTGGTGAGACTGATGAATGATGTATCAGATGGATGGTTATACAACTTGTGATTTTAGATTAGTATCCTTATTATGGCATTGCATAAATCAGAAAGCAGCAACAGTACCTAAGAAAGAGGCAAAGAAACATTGATTGCATTAAAGAGTAAGATGAAATTCTTTAGTTAGTCCAGGAATCCAGGAATATTTGTTGGAGTGAATAAATAAAAGAGATTTTATTTCGCCTTTTTCAGTCTTGTTGTTATTGTCTTCGCAAGGGAGCAACAATTGGCTGCTACAATAAGAAATGTCGAAGAACGTACCACTACCCATGTGGAGTAAAACAAAATGCCCTCTGTAAATTTTCTAATGATTTCAGGTGAGAAATGTTATAATTGTCATTATTCATACAATATATGGTATTTATGAACATTGGCACCAGAATGTGAACTCTCTTTGGAGATTCTTGGCAACATTTTTGTTCCACAGATCCTACTGCTCCCAACATCGTGAATATCAGGAGGGCTTTGGGTGTGGGGAGGAATTGGAATGTCCGATATGCATGGAAGAGCTGATTGCTGATCCCAAACAGGCCATCTGGGCTCCGTGTTGCAAGAGAAAAACATGGTTCCACAAACTGTGTCTGCAAGTAAGTGGGGGTCAAGCTCTTTCCAAGGAAATTTTTCTTTTCTTAAGGATTTTGATTGATGGTTTTAGTGTGTGCTGCATTGTGTTGAAAAGGTGGCAGAAAAAGTGATAGTTCACAAAAGTACTTTCTTGAAAGATGAGAGCTCTTCAAAAAACACATTTTTGTGTGTAGTGTAATGTTTTATTTCAGCCAAACATAATATACATAGTTAATGTATAAGTTACATAATGTTCCAGCATAAAAGTTATCTGTATTCCACTGTCTTAACAATATTATTTCTAGTAATTGATCTTAAGAGATGTGGTTATTTAAGATTTTAGATGATTTAATTTTTTTCTCCCTCCTAGAGGTTGGCTTTGAGTGCAGGCTACTTCTTCAAGTGTCCCTTATGTAATGACAAGGATGTATTCCAACTGGAGATGCAAAATCTTGGCATTTTTGTCCCAGAGAAGTAAGACCATGTGTTGATGACTGACTTTTTATAATGCAATCACATATCCTATTCTGCTTTTTGTTTCTTTGTCTTTGTTATCACATACACCTTTTTTTTTTTCTTATTCAGCTGAAGATAATCATTTGACATAATGTTTTCAGAGATGCAAGTTGGGAGCTGGAACCAAATGCCTTCAGTGAGCTTCTTGAAAGACCAATCCATTGTGATGCCCCCAAATGCAAGTGCCCAGATGGAAGGAAGACAGATGTGGAAGGAACGTAAGTGTTTATTATCTTTCGTAGGTTTACCCCAACCCCAGAATCTGTGAAAATTCGGTCTTGCATATTTTTTGTCATGAATCACTTGGAATCTCAAGGAGAATTTGAAATATTTTTTAAAAGGATTAAAAAATCCATAAAACATATTTTTCACTTAGTAATGTTTTCCTGTGTAAACTTTGCATTGCTTATAACTTTCACTACTTGCAGGAGATGGGAAGTGCTGCTGTGTAATCTCTGTGGCTCAACAGGTGTTCACATACAGTGTGGTGGTCTGCCCTTTGTCTGTACTGAATGGAACTGTCCAACATGTGTAAACATGTTGTCTGAGAGCTTTAAGAGAACACAACAAGAGGAAAGGCAGCGACGACTCAATGAAAGGAAAAGCAGGATTTCTGACAGTGAGGACCTTCCATTTGACAGTCCTCGGGGCTGTTGCTCCTCTGCTGCTTCCGGTTCCGTGGCCATGGATGTCTCAGAGAACAGAGAGACACTCACTCCAGGCAAGAGAAAGAGAGAGGATGTGGAAACTGGAATGGAAACCCCACCAAAGATGCGGCACTTGGACGGCATGGAATCCTTTTCAAAGATTACGTATGCCAGCGACTCTGACGAAGAGATTGACGTCGAGTCGGGGGAATACCAGGTTCCTCCTCATACCAATATTAGAGAGCTTGAAGAACTTGGGGAGGAACTGCCAAAGAAATTGAGAAAGCTCAAAAATTATGCCTTGCGTGCTCAGGAGAGGATGCAAGAATTGCGTTTAACAGAGGCTGACATTGTTAGAATAGCAAAGGAGGCTGCACACAAAAAAGACATTGCACTTGATAAATCTCAAGTGACAAGATTTTTCAGGTACAAATTACCTTTGGAGAAAATGTTACCAATAGCAGAATTAATCGGAAAGGTCTTTGCTTTTAGAGAAGCCATGGTGCTGGAAGCACAGACTTCATCTGCTGCTAAAAAGAAGGGTGGTTCTTCCACTCCTTCCAGGAGAGGCAGGAGAAAATCGGGAACTCCAACCATAAAGATTCCACTCCTGAAGACGGCAATTTCGCAGTCTTTGATTACCACAGGAATATCGCCCGTTCGGAAGGAAAAGCCTGTAGATTCAGAGGCAGTAAACACTGACTTACCTGAGAGCTGGTCCATGTACAGAGCCTGTAAAACAATAGGCAAACTAACCTCAGGACTTGACACTGAAACTGACCTTGTTGACTCTAAGCCAGATAGTATACTGGAAGCTCAGTGTGAGGGCGAAGTGAAGGAGGAGGAGGAGGCACCAGAAAGCAAAGCCAATGTCAGTATAAAGAAAGAAGAGGGGAATCATCAGGAATCTGTGGACAGTAATCTTGACAAGGACAAAAATGAATCTGAAACAGAACTGTCCTTGTTCCTGTCCCCCATGTCTTCTCAAGGGTCTGTGGGAAGCAAGCTAGATGCAGCAGAAACGCGGATGAATAAAGAAAATGAAGGCGTTAATCAGGTATAGGATTTGTTTTTCCATTTTCATTCTCATCTTCCTCCGTGTCATCTTTTTTTCTACTCTTTCTAATTTCTTCTTTCATCTTCCATTTTCTACTTTTATCTTTCCATTTTCTTTTTCTATTGTTAACATGTAACTACTTGTGTCTTATATATATGTACACTTTTTATTTACTACTTCTTACGTACTTTAATTCCTACACTCTTTTTACTTGTTTTTTTCTACTTTCTAATTTTCTTTCTACTTTTTACTTTTACTTTCTTCCTGTTTTTTCTTCTTTCATTGTTTTTCTTGTATCTACTTTCTGCGCTCTTCCTTTTTGATGTCTACTTCCTAATTTCTCCTTTCTGCATTCTTTCTGCATTTCTTTAACTATTGTAATTTCATTATTTGTTCTAATTCGTTCTTCATAAAGGGTAAATAGATTTTTAAAATTTATTTTACCTTTATACTGTCATTAAGAATGTCTTTCAAGGTATGATTAACATTTAGTGAAAGTAACGTAAATATTGGTTTGTTAGAATTTTTAAGGTTGATCTAGTTCTTTGACAGGACAAATCAGTATTTTTCATCTTTCCAGGATGTCTTCCAGTCTTCACAAGCCTGTCGTAAGCTCTTATTAAACTCCAACAATCAGATTGCAAAGGAGACCGCCGAATCCTTGTTACCAAGAGAAGGTGTCAGAACTACCGGTGGCCTGCCTGGAGGGATTCCATCTTCAGAAAGGTATGGATGTGTCTTGAGAAATATGCAGGTAGTGAGCAACTCTCCCACCAGGAAGGTTCCAGGTCCAGATGTGCATGAGGCCAAGAATAAGAAGAGGAAGAAGAGAAAGAAGAAGATACCCAGGTTGGAATTTGATGTCACCCTGATGAACGCAGCGACAGGCCCAACCACCCGGCAGAAGCAGCCCCAGACACCCCAGCAGGTGGCTCCCTCTGACGCGAAACATGCGGCCCAACACCTGAAACCGCCTGCCAAGAAAGCCAGTGATGGAGAGCGAGGCCACACTTCTGTCCGCGGGAGAAAGAAACACATCAGATCCGGCAGTCGTGATAAAAATAAGTACATACAGAAATCACTTTCACCATTTATAGTGAAACAGAAAAAGTAGTACAGTATTTATTTGGAGTGGAGTGTGGTGAGCAAGTATCATTATCTTAGTTTTTGTGTCCACAGTTTAGAATAAAGATTTTTATATTCATATGTTGAAATGATGTTTAATTTTTGAAAAAAAAGAAGTATTTTTTGCTTCCGAATTTCTCGTGTTTGTTAAGTTTTATAATTATAGATTGTTTAGAGAGAAGAAAAGTGCAAGTAGTATATTTAGATGATTTAAAAAAAAAAAGATTGATTAGGTGATTCCAGCCAGGTTAGGTAGAAACGTGTCCTAGTGAGGGTAAACAGTTGGTGAAGGATAGGCTAAACCTATAAGATAGGTTGGTGGGATAATCTTCTTGAAAGTCAAAGATGCCCCACGTTTAGAAAACAGTTGTTAATTGTTTTGTCAATAGGTGCTACATTATATAGAAAATGATTTATTGATAGTGCTTTCATCATTGTATAGTTTATTTCTTGTTGTTTAACAAAAAAAACAAACAAATAACAAAACTCATACCTCTCAGTATTTTAATGAAGAGCTCTCCGAGTGATTCAGCCAAGCGTCCAGTGCAGCAGAGCCTCGGAGGGCTTCTAAACGCAGAGGGAAATCTGCAAGTAGAACAAATGATGTAGTTATTTTAGAGTATTTTATTTGAAATGGCCATTGAGCTTTACCCTAGATATTTTGTTTTCTTTATTGATGTCACAAATGTATTTTTTTTTTTCTCTCTTTTTTTTCACATGAATTTCTTGGCATTTGTGAAAGATAAATTTGGCAAGAATTGGAAACCTTTAAGCAGAAAGATCTTGTTAATACACAGTGACAAAATATTAATTTAATCCTGATTTTTCTGTGAATAGGTTCCAAAGAGAGAGAGAGAGAGAGAGAGAGAGAGAGAGAGAGAGAGAGAGAGAGAGAGAGAGAGAGAGAGAGAGAGAGAGAGAGAGAGAGAGATGGGGGGGGTATAGATCCAATCATTCATTCCCCCCCACCCACACATGCATACATACATACATACATACATACATACATACATACATACATACAT